CTGGGAACAACTGAAAATGAAAACACAACAATCCAAAATCTATGGGACACAGTGAAAGCAGTCTTGAGAGGGAAGTTCACAGCTCTATAAGCCTCCTCAAAAAAAAAAAAAGGAAAAAATGGTAATAAATTATCTGACCCTACAACTTAAAGAATTAGAAAGAGAGCAAGAAGCCCGAACCGGTTTGGCTCAGTGGATAGAGCATCAGCCTGCGGACTGAACGGTCCCAGGCTCAATTACGGTCAGGGGCATGTGCCTTGGTTGCGGGCACATCCCCAGTGGGGGGCGTGCAGGAGGCAGCTGATCGACCTCTCATCGATGTTTCTGACTCTCTGTCCCTCTCCCTTCTTCTCTGTAAAAAATCAATAAAATATAAATTAAAAAAAAATTTTTTTAAAAAATTAAAAACACACACAACAACAACAAATAAAAACAAACATTGCTGGGTAAAAGGTTCACTCCAAGTGCAAGACAAATCAATGGGTTTTAATGTCTGAAAAATTCACTGATATAATTTTATGTTCAACATTGCAATGAATTTTTTAGGAAAACTACTATTTGTTGAGTTTTGATATAGTATCAAAGAAGAATATCCATAATGAGCTGAAAAGATCTTAAAATACTCTTTCTTTTTCCAACTGTATACCTGTGAGAAGCCAGACACTTTCAATATACTTTAACCACACAACATATAGTAATCGACGATACAGAAGAAATGAGAACCAACTATAAAATGTTTTTAAAGGCATGTATACAAATGACTAATATCCTCATCAGAATGATTAACTTGGGAAGTCCCTCCAATTGTTTACTCTTACTGTAACTGCTCAAAATATTTTAGAACCCTACCATCCGAGAGTTCCGAGTAAGATAATATTTAAGAAAGTATTATTTTATTGACATGACTTTTTTGGACAAAGATGGTATTAATTACCCCTCTTACCAAAATTTCTGATTTAGCCAATTTGCATATGACTTTCCACTGTTATCTAAAAATCAAATTTATTTTTTATTTTTTAAATATATTTTTATTCATTTCAGAGAGGAAGGGAGAGGGAGAAATAGAAACATCAATGTTGAGGATCGTTGATGGGCTACCTCCTGCACGCCCCCTACTGAGGATCGAGCTGGCAAGCTGGGCGTGTGCCCTTGGCCAGATCGAACCCAAGACCCTTTAGTCAGCAGGCTGGCACTCTATCCACTGAGCCAAACTGGCTAAGGCCAAATTTATTTTCAAAGGATGGGAATTTCCCATGCTTTGAAAATATTCAAAAAAATGTTTTATAATGCCAAAAGCAGAGAATACAGAGGGAGTGAAAGTAATTCCCAGAACTTGGAAACAGATTTACCCTTACAAATAAGGGATAATATTAGCAAGATGTCTTCCAAATATAGTGTATCCCCCAAAAAGTTTACATGCCTTGAATGACTATAAAGTCCGTGTTTCTGAACATACAGTTCATTTTCAAAATTTTAAAGAATCCACACAAATGAATAAGATTTTTGTCAATGCCTGGTCCAGGCACTGCTGATAACACAAAGCAATGGAATCACAAACACAGTTCAGTACTTGTGCCCCCTCAATTCGTCAACTGTTGCCGGTTTTGTACTGTAAACGTTATCTTTTATGTATCTCCATTAAAAAGTCTAGTGGATGAACTTT